TTTCCCCCACCCTTTTATTTCATTTTTGAGGGTTTTCGTCGCGGTGTTTTTGGTCAGATATTGGATACAAACTGCATTTTGATGATTCATGAGGATTTGGTCGGAAAAGTAACAAGGCGCCATATACCCAATTTGAAAGAAAGGTTCAATTTCCACGTCAATTTTTTATAGGGGGGTTTAGATATAGTTAGAGATCCTTCGATATTCATCAATATGTGCCCCATTAGTTCAAGGAAGACGTTAACTTACTCAATCAAATTCCCATCGGGATCTCTACAATAAACACTTCTCAGCTTGCCTTGAGCACCAGTGCGTATCACAATTCCTTCGTCAGTTTTCTCTGGGCTCAAATCGACCATCTCCACACCTGCATCTATTAGACGTTGGCGCACATCCTTAACATTATCATCCGTTATGAAGCACAAATCTGCGCTCCCATCTTTCACATTTTGAGCTTTGGGCTCGAATTCCTAATGAGTTTCAGCGCGGTGAGATCGCATATTCCAAGAAGGGCATCGAAGCAAAGTTACCTTTCCGAGTTGATGTAAATTTATTTTCTGCGAACCAAAAAGAAGCGAATGACGAGTGATATCTGGTGTGGCACTTGAGACGAATTGCTCGGCTTGCATGCCAAGATTCGCCTTATACCATTGGGTGGAGCGGGGTATGGAGGCGACAGTCAAGACGAGATGGTCGAGAGATTTGATATGTGCAGCTGGTGTAGAAGTCATCTTTCGAATGTGTTGAAGATTGGTATGGTTGATCAATTTCGGAATGCTTCTTGTGAACATAGACATAGTGAAATACCGTAATGTTTAGTTGTCATCTCATGAATACGAGTAAAAAGCACAAGACAATTAGCTGAATGATTCACTGTTCCCCATCCGCCCCTCCTTATGTCATATCACACCAATCAACGCCCGGGGCACCCCGCGACGGAAATTGCCGTCAGCCTTTTGTGAATTTCAAAAAAAGTTTCATGTAAACAACGGCGACAATAATATGCGATAAATTCTACAATGGCTTGTGTATAGTTGGGAATAGGCACATACATGACATAGCCTAGTTCCATCATTACGATTACGAAGATTACGAAGACCAACGATTTTGTTACTCTCACGACAGACGATTGTAATCCACCATGTCGAACTTGATCAATCGCGTGGGAAATTCCTCACAAGCACAATTTACAGCCACTGCGCTTGTATCTGGTGCGGTAGTGGCAGGTGCAATTTTTAGTTACCAGGCCCTGAGAAGACAGGAGAAAGTGGAAGATCTAAAGAGCTCGATACCTAGTTTGGGACGGGATCATCATGCTGATTTGGTATGTTTTAGATCTGCCACCCGGCAACCGAGTGAGATTGTACCCAAGTGCTTTTACTGACGAGAGAAGTGAAGCTTACGGATATGGGGATTGCGCCCAAGGGTACGGGCATGAGTAAAGAAGATGAGAGGGGTGCTGCATTGGCGGAGAGAGCGAGAAGGGGCGATTACGACGATGGTACTTTCAATTCTTCTACGAGAAACTATGAGCATCACTGATTTGTGCAGAACTCATTTTAGAACAATTGGCCCGAAATCGAGTCTTCTTGAAAGATGATGGATTACAAAAGTTACGCTCAGCATTTGTGGTTGTGGTTGGTTGTGGAGGTGTTGGATCGCATTGCACGGCAGCTCTTGCGCGCTCAGGGGTTTCACGTATACGTCTTATCGATTTCGACCAAGTTACTCTCTCGTCTCTTAACAGACACGCTGTTGCGACGCTCGCAGATGTTGGTACACCGAAAGTAGGATGTTTGAAGAACCGCCTACAACAAATTGCCCCATGGGTAAATTTCGATTTAAGAAACGAACTTTTCCACGCCAAAGCCGCGGACTCCCTCCTTGAAGAATGGGATGGTAGAAAGCCGGACTATATTGTAGATGCAATTGATAACATCGATAGTAAGGTGGAATTGCTGGAATATTGTTACAAAAACAAATTACCAGTGATTTCGTCCATGGGCGCAGGATGCAAATCAGACCCTACCAGAGTCTTCGTTGGAGATATCTCTGCTAGTACCGATGATCCACTCTCTCGCTCCACTCGAAGAAGACTCCGTTTACTAGGAATTACGTCTGGTATCAATGTAGTATATTCAACAGAAAAGCCCGGACCAGGAAAGGCGCAACTATTACCTTTACCGGAGGAGGAATTCAAGAAAGGCTCAGTTGGCGATCTTGGTGTATTACCTGATTTCCGCGTACGAATATTGCCAGTTTTGGGCACTATGCCTGCTGTCTTTGGATATGTAGTCGCCAACCATTTGATCCTTCAAATCACAGGTTATCCGTGTGAATACGTTCCAGCCAAAGGTCGAGACAAGATGTATGATGGAATACTCGCTCAACTTCAAGGATTTGAAGAAAAGCTAGCACGTGCTACCACTGAACATGAAGATGCACAGGGATTGAAGGTCCCATTAACATCTGCCGATGTGGGATACATAGTTGAGGAAGTTTACAAGGGAAAATCGGCATTGAGTGGGGTATCAACAAGATTGTCGTTGACGAGGTGGAGGAAACCTGAAGAAGGAAGTACTCTAGATTCGAGTGTTGAGGGACAGAAAGTAAGCAAAGTTAGGGCGAGAGACTTGGTCTGTATGACAAGGGAGGAGGCAACAAAGCACGAGAAACTTATATTCAAGGAGGGAAAGAAAGTAGAGGATGTGTATGATAGTACCACGATAGAGAAAGTAGAGGCAAGGATCAGAGAGGAGATTGGGTATGAAAAGTATAGATGAGAACGAAATATAATATCGATATACTATGCCCTAAGAAAATAAATGGTTATAGAAGATGTATAAAAATGCCGTTGAAGATATTCAATTTTACTATACAATATGATAAATAAATAAAGCAAGATTTTGGGTAGAAAAACTGTAAGGAAATTGTGTGAGGAATTGGGCCAAAAATATGCATCTGTTAACGTTGAAAGGGGATGTGTATCTATGACGATTAACCGTTTGAAAGATCGACAAAAAGCGGTAAGGGGGGTAAACGAAGTAGGGAAGATGAAGCTATTCCCAATTTTCGAGTTGATCTGAACTTTAATTTATCATTCATCAATGAATCACTATTTCACATTATGTGTGAATGGGTTGTATTACCATTGAGCAATAAGTACTATAATGTATCTCTCAAAACACTTTTGCTAGTAAAAAGTGTTTACATTTGGAATTTCGAATAAGTTCGAGAAAACATTCCTTTCTACGCCCATCTTCTACCTTTAATTCTTTCAACCTTTTTCGAAATCTTATATCTACATCTATATTCTCTCTGTGAAAGTTTCAATTTCTTTCAAAGTTTGAATATTTCATTCTTTCCCAAGTATTTGTACTGTAAAATCGGTTCGAAGGGGCGCCGGGGGATCAGAAGTCTAAAATAAGGGAGAAAACTCTAATGAATAGGGTTGGTAAACTCTAAAAAGTGGTTTCAGCTGAATGGGAAGAAGGTTAGAATTCAGAGGGATAAGCTTATTCTACTCCTTTCTGTATGGGTTAGAAAATGAAAAAGGGGATGAAATGTTATGATTGAACATCTGGAACGTAGATTTCCATTCAGGATGGGATGGCTGTAGAACTTCTTAGGAGTTCTGATGGTTCGTTCGTTGCTTGCTTTCTCCTGTTGGTATTGACTATACTCTAATTCGTATGGTTGGCGATTCAGTATGTATCACCAGATAATCTACAGCACACAACATGCAGCCATAGATTGAAGATAATGAAGCTATACCTACATATCTACAAGTTGTTGACAGAATTGTTTGTATGATGCGATGGTTCTTACGATGCTATGAGAGCAGGAGTAGCTAGTCCCGGTTAGGGTTAGTGCTAGGAGTGATCTGACACACCAGGACTTGTTTACTTCACCGATTCCTCATTTTTGGATCATTGTACAGTCTGAATGCCTTCATTCTATGAGCTTTATACTTCCCGTCTGTCCTGTGAGGAGTTATAAAGTTACACTTTGATAGAGATATTCCCATACAAACAAAGATCATGATTGGCTATTCTGAAAATTGTGGGAACAGCTTGAAAGATCAGGCACGGCCCGTAAGCCCAATTTTATTCCATGGTATCCAATCATATGGATTTCTCCCACGTTTTTCTCTCGCGTTCGTTTGCTAGCTACTTCAGAAATAGTCAGCGGCATGGATATTATCAACTGCAAAGTCCACTGTATTTCGGACGAACAGGATAGAAGAAGCGAAAGTAATCTGCTTTCAGCTCGCTTATGTGTTTAAATACCTATTTTTGCTATCTCATCGTTCCATTGTGGTACGTGCAGAGTATCGACCTTTCAGTCTTTTCAGATCTAGATTGCTCACAAGTAATCTAACACACTTATCTAGCCCTGCGCGTGGGAAAGCTCTTCAATTGCGTTGATACCAAGGGTAGTTAAGCTTCACGCTACAGTAGTCTGTTTAAGCTCAAATAGATCTAGAGACATGAAGCTGTTTTGCTCGAAGATCTTAGATCAGGGGTTCAATTTCTCCATACCCACTTTCTGACTCTTTCTCCAACGAAGCAAAACTTTGGCCATGGTGTATAGATCTGGGAAACCCTACCAGTACCTTATTTCTATCAAGGTCATCTAAAAATGCACAGCCGCAGAGGCCTCTTCCTCTCCATTCATCTGGATAAGAAAACCTATGCGCTGCTGATTAAGGCCTAGCGCCACGGCTCAGAACTCCACAGTTCAAGCTATTGATATTGACAGCAGCATTCAGCCTTCAACACTGTTTCTCTGCGGTTCAAACTTGATGAGAAGCTCATGGGTCCATCATCCCCGGACATATCCGAATGCAGGAGTTCTTCTGATATGTCCCAACACGGAGGTAGACCTTCGAAAAGTACTTATTTCAGTGGTTTCCCATCTTCCCAAGGGCTTCTCGAATCGACATCGTAGACTCTTGAATCCTTCTTTTATTTCTCGAGTTAAGCACAATAATCTTTATAATGGTTTCCACACTCCTTCCATTAGTTGTCCTTGCGACTCCAGCCGTTTCTGCCATTTTGTCAAATGGCACATACCCAGCTTCAGCACTTGATGATCAATTGTCATGTACCACCTCATTTGCTTCAATAGCACCATACAGTGTTCTTACATCCTCCAAGACAGAGACTTCAACCCGGATCGATACAAGTATAGTCACCTATACTCCCTCCATTTCCTTGACCCTCCAAGCAAGTACTCTTACTGTGGGAGAATTCGCCACCACCACCGAAACAACTATCGTTCCTCAAGTTACCGATACGTTTTACAGTACATCAACTTGTCTCGCCACAACCTCCATCACCAGTGCTATTGTTGAGACAGAGACCGCTGCTGCTACAACGACAATCAGTGCAAGCCCAGAAACTGTTCACATCGCAGCTCCATATGGCTTTACACCAATCGGTTCGGCTGTTCCTGGTGTAGCCAAGCGTAGTGAATGTGGGCCGGCCCAGCCTTCCCAGGCACCACTCACCGTTACAATTACAGTAACATCTACCCTTGTTTATTCAAACGATGTATACTATACTGTCACAAAATCAGGCGAGTGGAATCATCAACGACCAAACACCTTGCAGTCTCTCACGAAAACTACCACCGACTCTCAATCCGCTTCAGAAGCTGAGCAGCAAAGTACAGGAGTGCCTGCGTTAGCTCCGTCTGAATCTTGGTCTAGATATCATTACTATAACACCACATCTCGCTACATCGCTGCCTCTGGATATGCACCATCTGTCAGTAAACCTGTGGACACAGCTACCAGTAGCGACATCAAACCATTTGAAGACCCAAGTGCTTCCATGTACGCACCAACTGGCGTCATTCCTTCCAGTATGGTTAGCTTCACACACGTTATCAGTGCAGACCCAAGTCCTCCAACTGGTGTCATCCCTTCAAACAGAGTCAGCTTCACCCCCGTAAGCAGCGCAAACTCAACTACCAGCTCTACCTCCCCATCCATCTTTGCTCATAGCACATCCTACCCAGCAGCGGTCGAATGTACATCGATATTGAACATTGGGTCTATCACCACAATCACCGAGACGGCAGCAATGGTTACCAATCTTGCAACTCCCTACGTCACAGAGACTTCAACCTCCACTATAACAACAACAACAAGTGTTATGGAAGAGGATTGTTCCACAACCCTCGTAGCTACCGAATATTCAACCATCTCAAGCATTGTCTTGGCCACTTCTACAACAACCCTCACAGCCACTCAAACCGTCAGTGAAGTTTCCGGCGCAACCCCCACCAGCTACGCCGCTTGCGCCGCTAACAACTTGATCTCTTCCGTCAACGGAGCACCCGTCACACAAGTTCAATTCCTCACGAGTGTCCTCTCCGCGTTGAAGACAAACTCCGCTTATGATTGTTGTGTAGCGTGTCAGACCGCCGCAGGCGGTTGCGCTGGTTCCGTCTATTTGAACAGTGGCGCTTGTTACTTGGCCGCACCAGGCGCAACCTGTGGCGTTAACAGTATTATCACGAACAAATTCTACACCTCATCATCGGCAGGTACTGCTGGTGCCTTCACTGTTTCGAATGGACTGTGTGGACAAATGAGCTATAGTGCATATTGAGGGAAGAGGTATTTTTTAGATATGTAATTGTAATTGATATAGTTTAGAATAAATGAAATGTAATCTTACAAAAAATTAATAGATAAAAATCAACTAAGTTTTAGATTTGCAAGATTTGGTGATGAATATTGCGATGTATATTTTGTTTATTCGAATATATACTATATGATAATGAAGTGATTTTTTCGTCGTTCAATAGTTTTATGGAAGACGCCCGATGAGATGAGTATCTACCTCGTTCCTAAATTACAACTTCATTGAAATTTTCATCAGGGTCCATAAAGCTTTGGTATATCGCCATCCCCCAAAGATAAAGACAAAGATAAAAATACGCGAGTTCAAACTCAAGTGAATCCAGTATTTTCATACTTAAGCGATTGGGACCGAAAGAAAATCTAAACGATTTCCTGCTACTAAACAAACTTCCATCCCCTTCCAATAACAAAAAGTCTTGCATACCCTCCTACTTGACTCCCCTCACACACTCTCATACTTTATAACTTTGAGGGGCGCAGATATATTGTATTCCTCGTTTATCAAAAACGAGGAATACGAACGCCTCTTCCCCCAACATGCTAATAATATATACAAAATTGAAAGACTCTCTGTCACATACGACCATAGACTGAAGAGAATTGGGCATCCCGTCCGCTCTGCCATACACAAGCTTCAGATCGGTGGATTAGTAGTTGGGTGGGTGACCACCAGCGAATCCCCACTGTTGTATGTTTTTTTCCTTTTGGATCTTCTATATGTGGTTGGGGCGGAAAGGATGTTGGTCGATGATCTGGATGCCGGTACCTGTTGGGAGATTTTGTGTGAGATGTTCCTTTCAAAAGTTTTTTTTAGCTGGGGTGAGAAGAGAGAAGTTCAATCTTACAGGTCGAGGGTCTTCCTGGGGTTTATCGGCCTCACAAAGACCCAAAGGACACCTAGAACGGGGAAAGCTGTGTTCTTCCAAGGATTGTAAGAGATATCTAGTGGAAGAAGTAAATCACAGTATGATTTGATAATTTAGATGTAAATGATACGTAAACAATCAAACGAAGCGAATAGTTTTCTACCTGCTCTGGTGGTTTCTGGACGCTCAAGTTTTAGATGTTTAAGTCGTCTATGGTCTGTGTCTGTTGAGGAGAAGCGAGAAGGGATATGAATATAGATAAACTTGGCTATACCGGACTGGGATATACCGGAATCTTGAATATGGATACTAAAGTAATTTTCTGATTTGATTACTTTTTATATAAAAATACCGGATTTTGAGCAAAATCAGAATATTGAATTAATTTTTTGTGAATCTGATATAAATTTTAATAGTAGATTTAATTAAATAAGCTTTTTTTATATTAAATAAATAAAACTGATTATTATTATATAATTTTTCATAAAATTATTCAATCTAGAATCTAAAATCTAGCATAAATTTCATTCGAATATTTAGATTATTATTATTTATATCAGAATCTTCTTTATACCGGATTTGATTGATTGAAAATTTCAGTCCAATATAGCCAAGTTTATTTGTAAGAGAAGGAGGTGATGGATTGGAAATGATGCGAGCAAGTTACAGAGCGAACCTCTTTCTTTCTGCTTCTACCTCTACTCTACTTCTCTTATCATCAATAAGGCTTTTGGACTTTGTGACTTTGAGAATTACATATTCGGGGAGGGGAGCTTCAAATTTTCGCGCTTAGGATCTGATTCTGTTGATAGCCCTTACTTACTATACATTTTGATCCAGTAGTATACTACCTAGGTAAGGATAGATTGAGAAAAACAAAGGTTGTATTAGAATCACGGGAAACAGTGAGCTGGTGAAGCAGAGTGTTTGTTCGTTGGTTCACTAGATTTTTCATCAACGCTTGACATCTCTATTGAATTGACTTATTCTATTATCAATCAAGGTTGTCCACATGTAAACAGCGATCTGATTGGAATCTATATACCAGTACCTGGGTGATTTATTGTACCCCTGCTTAGCGTATTCTGGTACAGCGACAGCTGCAGCCCTACAAATGGCTCGAGCGTTTTTTGGAAAATCTGGGGTCAATGCCTTTGATCCCATTCCCAAATTTATTATTTAATAAGGACTATTCATCCCCCAACATATATCATATCTACCATCATCATAACAAATATACCCCACTACCTCAAGTAACATACATTTCTCCCAGATCATACATATACAACTCGTCAATATTGGCACCATCTCTCCGCCAAGTATTTACACCCGATCAAGATGTTCCGACGAACACTCTTGAGATCTGGATCGCCCATCATCTGGAGACCACATCGTGTAAATTTCCATAGGAATATGCAGAGTCTACCCAATCTACAACAGGCTAGTATCTCTATATTATAATTGTTGCAGGTTCCACATGATATTATACTAACAATGATTACAGCAGGGAAATACAGCTGATGGATCAGCCAATCATTCGGGAGGCCAGGATTCCACTTCTCCTCAAGATCAAACGGTCAGTCTTCTTTTGAATCAGCCAAAGGGAAATACACTCACGAACCATGGCTATTCCCACGATATAAACAGCATCACGGTCAAAGAGATGCTAAGCGAGAGGGAGTCAAGACTACAGAAATTGGAATACAATTCTCAATTTTGTAAAAAGAAACTGGACGATATTCAGTTAAGCCAACAAAAATTGAAAGACGATATCAAGATATTACAAACTTATAGAGACCGAGAATATGCTGGAGGGGTGGTTAGCATAAGGAATCAACTGGCTCAGATGTTTCTCCGCACGACGCAAATTGTACAACGTAAACAGCAAATTGCTAATCCAATCGATATACGAGTCAATGTATACGATCAAAACGAATTAGCATACGACGTCAATTTGTCAACAACAATAAATCAAGCTGACATGCACCCTGACTACTTTGATATCTGTTTAGATACGGTTTTCGGAGCACCAAAGAATCACATCAAAATTTTACTTGAATGGGATAAGACTGGTGAAAATCAAGTTTACAGCATTTTAAGTGACCATGGAGAAGCTTGGCACAAGGGTTTTGCCAACACCTGTCCAGCGCCTTTCAGAGACTGGCTGGAAGCAATATATTGTCTTCATCATTACGAATCAAATATGCTCCCTGGTGGTTCTTCTCTCGACCATATGCTCCCTGGTGGTTCTAGTCTCGAATATATTCGGATGCAAAAGGAGGGAGTTGAGGAATGTTTTCAAGAATGGAACGAAGCTTACACGACGGATAGGTCAAACTACGGAAAGAAACGAAAGGAATGTCAAAAAATAATTACAGAGGATTACAGGAAGAGAGGATTAATCCCACGAATCAAGAAGAATTTATTCCATGGGGTGAAGTTGGATAAATAGAAAAGTGTTCGGAGAACGAAGACCAAGAGGGGAGGAGGGAGATTCTAGATGCTTCTTATTGCGAAGTTGAAGTTGAAGGATCAGGAGACTAGAAACTTAGTCATAGGATTGGGCAAATTTAGGACATGGGTGATTGGAGCTATTTGCAAGCTCACCTACCTGATATAAATGATAAAAAAACATTTCACCTCTCACATCGTGCTAAGAGAACTTCCAAAAATTTCAGATCTTGCATGGGTGATTTATATAGTCTCACACAAACTTGTGAAAGAACTTTTGAGAATCCAAGTCGTGCATGTTGGCTTCAAACTCTTGAAATACATAAAGATCGGTGTAAAAATTGAGAAGGCTAGGCTACAGCGGATACGGATACTTCGCCGCTAGATGAGTCCAAATCATAACTAGAGACACCGAACCAAGAAAAGATGTTTGAGGTTGTGAGAACTTGTTAGCGTATCATGAGAATCTCATTGCAACGGAGGGACTATCAAATTTCATGGTAATGTATGGACGAATCTTGGATTGCCATAGTAAATTGAAATGTCTAAAAAGTTTCATCAGGTCTATCTGCATAAATAGACTAATCATTGAGAGGATTGAACCCACTTCCAATGCGTCTTGATTTTATTCAAATATAGAGCGCCCACAACTAATCTGCTTGTGAGAAACACTGAACACCCTGATCGAACCCCGAAAGTATTGTCAGAAGGCCGTGAAAGATTTATTAGCAAACTAAACGCCAGACCTGAAATCTTCAATATCATTTCCACTGTCTTACCCAACCTAAATGTATAAATTCTAATAAACTGCGCTGAAACAAACGTCCTCCTCTTGAATTTCTCTATTCATCCCAATGTATTCACCCAAAGTATTCATTCCCATACAACCATTAATATTCATCCCTAATCAACACTCACTTCCGTGAACTCAGATCTTGCAAGCTGGATCCACTCAGAGGAAGATGCGACTTTTCTCTCTGTTGTCTCCATCCGACATTCGTCAAGAATTTCGCAGGATGATATACATTGAACAGAACCAAAACCGGCAGCATCAATGCGGCCTCAAAGACATAGAAATTCCATTCGTGAACCGAGAGATACCCATCGAAGCCGGTTGTGAACTCTACCATTCTGTATATCGAACGAGCCTGGCTATGTGTTAGCACTCAAACTTTGACGCGCTCGAGATAGTAAGGGAGAACGTGGGGTGAACTTACAAAGATCAGCCCACTAGCAATGTTAATCGCCATCAACAATTTCTTCCACTGTCTATCCGGCCATGAACTTTCGAATTTCTTTGAGAGGAAATGGAATCTCAAAGAAATGACTAAGAAAAATCCAAAGCATACTAATTGGATAACCAGACCAACTTTCATAACATTATAACCCCGTTGAACAACCTTTGGATCTTTGGAAGTGGCGGAGGTGGCGCCGAATACTTGGATCAAAAAGGCGACGATGTCGCAAGTTACGAAGATGGGTGTCATCCAGCGGGGTGGTACCCAGAGGTTCTTGACGTTTCGGAAGGAGGAGGGAGTGATGTGGAGAATTACCCGGCCCTGGGGTGATGTTAGACTGGCTTCATGGAAAACAGTATGATGAACAAGATGGAGAGAGACAAGGACGTACCATTGCCATGTAGCAAGACGCAGCCATAAGCGCAGGCGCGAGGAAAATGAGAACAAATTGAACAATGTATGCGTCTGGTTCGTTAGCATCTGAACTATACATGCCGTGCTTCTTTACTCACTTCTGTTAGTTGTGTCATATACCGAGACTACTCGACCTATGTACCCGACAGACTCCACTGTTGGGTATTAGCATTGTACTTCTAATCTTTTATCTAGGATGTAGTAAGACTTACTAGCTGCCGCTAGTACCATGAACAGCCAGAACCAACTTTTGAGCCAGATGTACTGGAAAAGTGTGTATATAAAACTGCCTGTGTATAAGATGGCAAAAGCAATCGCGGCCCCCTTTGATGGGTCGTAGTCGTAATAACTAGCATCTGTGAGATGGATGTGAGCTTTTGAAGACCTGTCTTGCTTTGGAGAAACCTACTTTTGCTAGACATCTTCACACAGAATGCTCTAAGTACTAGAGACAAAACAAGAAGGGTTATAGTTTTTTTGTATATAATGATCTGAAGAGTTCTGAATATTCAAATCTAACTTCGATATCGAAATTTCACAGTGTTGAAAATCCCTGAAAGTAACGAGCGATTAAAGCAAAAATTGGTGAAAAATCAGAACTGTAAAAATAACCTATTATAGAGAATCTGATAAATAACGATAAAAAAGGGATCGGAGGATAAGATATTCATTTTCCAAATACCTATCTTAAATCAATCAAAGCTCAAATCCATGCAGGAGAACATGTCAATATGCATATATCAACAGCATGCCTCGTGTTAACCGAGCTACCCTTTCATTCTGACACAGCCCACTCCCATCCCATGCGTTGACGCGTCCGAACTTCCTGGTTACCCTTTTGGGAACCATGTGAGATGAATCTCGTATCTAGCGAGATCCGATAGGTCAAAGCACATTCGCGAAAAGACCTCGGGAAACCATCATTTGTTTCGCGTCCAGTCACCTTCTAGAATTCGATAGGCAGGTGCCAGAAAAAGCATCTCGATTGATGGGATTGTATGAGCAGTGTGAGGACCCGTAAGGCTGACACATGGAATGAGACAATGAGACTCCGCCCCCTTTGGTAATTTTGTTTTCCTCGCTTACACGAGAGATGTGGGCTGAGAAGCCCTTGCCAGACGGACATCGGGAGCGGACCATGAGTGTCTCCCAAACCCGCCTTTGTGTATCTCCGTCCCGGTACCGAAAAACACGGTTCATGATTGGTTGTGGAGCAGCACTGCAGAGAATTTTATTCAGGCTATCGTATGCTTGAAGGGGTTGTCGATTCTGGACCCACAAACCAATGACAGGGTCCAACGACAGGGTCCGTACGAACCAATAGTCATTAATTGGGAAGAAAGATTGTGATGTGAGAATAACTTTTTTGGCATCTCATTCGCGTCGAGATAGAAGGCGAGATTCCATAAAAGTCTGAGAAAACCAGGTTGTAGAAATCAATGATGCCTTTCAAGTCAACATAGGAATTTGCCCTAGGTTGATAATGTATATAGGGTGTATGAATTCCTTGCTAGATATGTACAACGCACCTCGTAGCAAATGGTCAAATCGAATGGGACAATTCCTTTGAATTGTTAGCACTAATACTCTTCTCGAGATATTGAAATAATCGATGAGCAAAGCAGTTTAACCAAGCCAGAGCAGAGCCGTTATATGGAAGTTTCAATATCCATCAGAAACTCGATACTTGAGAGTGAATATAAATATCCTGACAGGACCAATAAAATACTTATCCTAGCAGTGATACCGAGATTACATATACAAGAGCGAATATGGGGTTCGGGTTGAGACGCAGGTCTTGATCCAGCCAATAGAAAGCCTATCCGATTCGTATAAGACATGCAACAAAAGAAACCGGCATATGAAAGAGTGAATCTGGAGTATCAAGGGCGGACCAATGCATTTCCAGTACTGTAATGCGTATCCGAAGTCACGAATCTCGAGTACTGCCTGCGTCTTGTTTGAATGGAATCAAAATGAATGATACACGAGCATACGTCTGAATGGAATATCTGAAACCAATCGTGCAGCTTCTATTCAGAAATTCCGTGAATAATGTGTGCAAAATTTGTACATAAGAAGTGCTTGCTCTTTTCTTTCTAGACAAACGATTCATAAAACTACACCCTACTACAAGCATCTCCGCAAAGAACAATCCATCAACGTACACCCTACTACAAGTATCTTCGCAAAGAACAAATACATACAAGCACCACATCAAAACAACTTGCATCTCCAATACAACATGGCGCTTTGGTATTGCTCCAGTTGCAAAGCCATCCTGCTTACCGGCGACGAAATACCTATCTGCAACACATGCAATATTCCAATGACCAGTCAGCCGGCCGACTGTTACTTTGAGATCTTGGGAGGAAGAGAATTATGGCTGAACGGAAGGGGCGCATTTAGGGGAGATGGGAACGAAAAAAGACTCTTCAATATTCAATTCTAGAGGTTTCCTGGTGATACCTAGTCAGTGCAATACGACACCCTATTCTGACCTCAAGGGTCAAGGATGCTTTGTTCCATCGTTAGATTTAAGTTCATTACATCGAAGTGAATGAATATTATTTGCGAGGCGGTTGACAGTGCACTTTAAAAGTGGTGATTTCCGTCCGCCAACTTCTCACAAATCAAAAAATATTCATTATTTCCGCTTCATATAAATCATTGAAATGATGACTATCTATCGCAGATCTTATTTTGGAGAGATTCGCTAATCTATAGCACCAAGCTATGCCCGCTAATAAAGTAATTGAGATTATGAACATTTCCCGCAAATATGATAGACAGCTTAGCTACCCTCTACGCGTATGCAGCCCAACCTATATATATTAATTAGCGTTTGTTACGAATAGATAATATCAGCATGTAAGATGAAGATATGGGAGAGACGGCGGGAGTGGGATAGAACATACCTGAATACAACACTGCCAGATTCTTCTCATCCCTCGCTTGATTGATCAAATCATTGACTGTGGCCTCTACACTTAACGTTTTTGACAATTTCTTGTTGACCACGGTCAGAGCTTTATCAGCTTCACTCGGTTGGTTGACAGTTAACCTTTCACCACCTCTCTCATGTCCCATACCAGGTTCCGGCGCAACACTTTGCGCCACCTGCAATTTTGCAAGTCGCACGGGTGATATAGACCAGCTGTACAATGGATCATATCGTAGAACATCAAGAATAGTCATGATACTATAAACTTCCTTGCGCAAAGCGGAAAGAGTGAATTCGCAGCAGCGTCTGAATACACCTTCGGTTTCTGTTATGCCCATTCCGTCGACAATATCGCGGGTGAGACGGAAAGGTACCAATTCTGGGACCGGAAGAACCCGACCCATT